ACCCCAGCACACTCTACCCCAGCACACTCTACCCCAGCACACTCTACCCCAGCACACTCTCCCCCAGCACACTTTACCCCAGCACACTCTCCCCCAGCACACTCTACCCCAACACACTCTACCCCAGCACACTCTACCCCAACACACTCTACCCCAGCACACTCTCCCCCAGCACACTTTACCCCAGCACACTCTCCCCCAGCACACTCTACCCCAACACACTCTACCCCAGCACACTCTACCCCAACACACTCTACCCCAGCACACTCTCCCCCAGCACACTTTACCCCAGCACACTTTACCCCAGCACACTTTACCCCAGCACACTCTACCCCAGCACACTCTACCCCAGCACACTCTACCCCAGCACACTCTACCCCAGCACACTCTCCCCCAGCACACTTTACCCCAGCACACTCTCCCCCAGCACACTGTACCCCAGCACACTTTACCCCAGCACACTCTACCCCAGCACACTCTCCCCCAGCACACTCTACCCCAGCACACTTTTCCCCAGCACACTTTACCCCAGCACACTCTACCCCAGCACACTCTACCCCAGCACACTCTACCCCAGCACACTTTACCCCAGCACACTTTACCCCAGCACACTCTCCCCCAGCACACTCTCCCCCAGCACACTCTCCCCAGCACACTCTCCCCAGCACACTCTACCCCAGCACACTCTACCCCAGCACACTCTACCCCAGCACACTCTACCCCAGCACACTCTACCCCAGCACACTCTACCCCAGCACACTTTACCCCAGCACACTCTACCCCAGCACACTTTACCCCAGCCCACTTTACCCCAGCACACTTACCCCAGCACACTCTCCCCAGCACACTCTACCCCAGCACACTCTACCCCAGCACACTCTCCCCCAGCACACTCTACCCCAGCACACTTTACCCCAGCACACTTTACCCCAGCACACTTTACCCCAGCACACTTTACCCCAGCACACTCTACCCCAGCACGCTCTACCCCAGCACGCTTTACCCCAGCACACTTTACCCCAGCACACTCTACCCCAGCACACTTTACCCCAGCACACTCTACCCCACCACACTCTACCCCAGCACACTTTACCCCAGCACACTCTACCCCAGCACACTCTACCCCAGCACACTTTACCCCAGCACACTCTACCCCAGCACACTCTACCCCAGCACACTTTACCCCAGCACACTTTACCCCAGTACACTCTACCCCAGCACACTCTACCCCAGCACACTCTCCCCCAGCACGCTTTACCCCAGCACACTTTACCCCAGCACACTTTACCCCAGCACACTTTACCCCAGCACACTTTACCCCAACACACTTTACCCCAGCACACTCTACCCCGGCACACTCTCCCCCAGCACACTTTACCCCAGCACACTCTACCCCAGCACACTCTACCCCAGCACGCTTTTCCCCAGCACACTTTACCTCAGCACGCTCGACCCCGCCGCGCGCAACTTTTTGCCGATTGATTAACTGTAGGGGCTAACCCCATTTTAACGTGGCCGAACAGACAGAGGTGAATGGTGAGAAACCTGCCCCCCGCTCCCCACCACCATTTCAACTGCCGAGCCGGGAGATGGGAACCTAACCGGCGGCCCCACCGCGCGCTGCTCGCCATCACACCGCCGTGGCAGCGTCTCCCCATGATGATAGGCCTCGCAAAATTGCCCCCCCCTGCCACTGCTTTGCCGGAATTCGAGCTCACGATCCCACGATTAGTGAGCCCCGCCGTCCCCACCGCCGGCGTGCGAGAGCTCGCGGAAAGCGCACGCGCATTTTTGTGGATAATTATGTGCGCTGTGCGTGACTGTTTTCGTGTGTGCGCGCGGGGCGCGCGTACGTGTGTGTCCATGCGCGCGTGCACGCGCGTGTGTGCGCGCGCGTGTGTGTGCGTGCGCGCCAAGCAGAACGAGATGAAAGACGTTTCAGGTCGCAGTTACAATAACTGCGCGAGAACGCATTGGAGAGAGGGGAAACTGCCCGGAACCAGTTTGCGCTTCATGGCCCGAGGCCCCTCTCAGTTTTTTTGTTTTCTTTCCCTGCGTCTCTCTCACACTCCCCTCTCTCTCACACACGAGCACACACACACGAGCACACATGAGCACACACACACGAGCACACACGAGCACACACACACGCGAGCACACACACAAAGATCCACTGGGTGGCCTTCTACATGCTGTTGGTGCAGATGATGTTAGCGAGCACTTATCAAGGCCGGGGACAGTATACACGAGGCGATGGTTGTGGCCAGCTCCATGCCCGGCCGTCTTTGTCTCCCCTGCGATGATGTTTTTCCATGGGCAGAGTTGACCTAGGTGGGGGATGCTCGGCATTTGTTCGAATGTCATTTGCCACTGATGTGCCACGCTGCTCCCCAATTACACACAAACAAACAAAGATCCCCCGTGTAGCCTTAACAGACTGTTGGGGCAAGTGCTGTTAGCGAGCATCTCGAACACACACACACTCGCTCGTCATCTCTCACCCTCTCACACTCGCCCCCTCCCCACACACCATCATTGTCTCCCTCACACCCCTCTCTCTCTCCCTGCCTCTCTCCCGCAACTCTCCCCGATCCACCCTCGCACACAGCTCTAGGCCAGCGCACTCTCCCCCAACCTCTCTCAACACTCTCTCACTCACAAACTCACGGCACTGCCCTCCACTCTCTCGCTCTCTACACTCTCCACTCACTCTCTCTCTCCACGCTCTCCCCCACCTCTCTCCACTCTCCCTCCCTCACTCTCTCGCACAAAGACAAAAATCCACCATATAGCCCTCACAGACTGTAGGGGCAAGTGCTGTTAGCGAGCACCTATGAAGGCCGGAACGGTACACGAGGGGGTGGGTAGCCAGCACCACGCCCGACCGCCTTTGTCTCCCCAGTGGCGATGTTTACACAGCGCACCAGGTACTAGTTTGAGGCTGAGTCGACCTAGGGGAGGCCCAGGACCGGTTCAGATAATCGTCACTGATGGTGGCCGTGAGCGGGAATCGAAGGCCGGTCGCCGAATTCGTAGCGCAGCGCGCTAACCGCTACACCACCGCTCTCTCGCACACACAGTCACACACACAGAGGTACACACAGTCACACACACAGTCACACACACACAGTCACACACACAGAGGTACACACAGTCACACACACAGAGGTACACACAGTCACACACACAGTCACACACACAGAGGTACACACAGTCACACACACAGAGGTACACACAGTCACACACACAGAGGTCACACACACACAGTCACACACACAGAGGTACACACAGTCACACACACAGTCACACACACAGAGGTCACACACACAGTCACACACACAGTCACACACACAGTCACACACACAGAGGTCACACAGTCACACACACAGAGGTCACACAGAGGTACACACAGTCACACACGGGCCACGCACGCTATGAGCGCGCGGGCTCCCCAATGCTGCTGGCGGAATGACGACACCGCCGACATCCGCCCGCTCTCACGGGGCCACTCGGGGCTCGCGACGCGCACGCGCGGCCGTCACGCACGCGCCTGCGGCCTGCCTACCGACCACCGTCCCACCATTAAAACGACTCTCGCCTCTCCTCGAACAGGGGCGTGGAGAACGCTCGCGCCTTCTCCCCCACCTCTCCTTGCAGTCGATTTAATGTAGGAAAACTCTGCAGTGGTTTCAACAATCAGTGTCTCATCAGCAGAGCCATGCTGAACCGCCAGATCTTTGAAGGCAAGGACCTCGCCCCCCCGTTACTCTCTCGCTCGTCAGACGTGGGTCCTAGCTCAACGCAACAACAAAAATCAGCTCTACAAAACACAACACAGAAATCATCACGATCTCGACGTCCGAGCGGTGATCACTGACAAGCAGCGCCCGACCCGTCAACGTCTCGCAAGCCTCGTTGAGCCCAGGCAGCACTCCGATAGACCACCACCACCCCACCACCGCCGCCGCTGCGTTGTGTGCAGCGGAGGGCAGCGTAGCAAACATCCGTTGTTGGGCTGTACTATGTACTATGCTCCCTGCTTCACAGCTCCCCACCACGTGGATTGAGAAAAGGGCCATAGGATGAACAAAACGTCACCGACGTATTAGACTTGGAAACCCAGTACGCGCATAATCGTCACGCTCCAAATTTCCCAGATTAAAAATAAATCACACCGCAAATGACTCCGTTGGGATTACACACGGCAGGAGCAGCAGCAGCAATTATCACCGCCGCCTGGCAGGCAAATTGTCCCCAGGTCACTCTTGCAAATGAGACCTCACCCCTAGTCTCTCGAATTGATCACCCGATTAAACAAAAATAAACTTGATAAACTTGAACTCAAAATTTCTCACAGCCTTTCGGATTCATGCACGTTCGGCTACACGAGGCGCGGAAGACGTTCAACGTACGTACATTTTACGTGTTTCATCACTGGTCGGAAGCACCGGCCTGGCGGTGGGCCTACGTGGCGGCAGTGTTGTTTGACATCCACTCGACAGGCACTTTAGCGAGTACCTCGAACACAAGCAGCAAGCCTCCTCCCCAAAACTCAAGCGCCCGGGACTGAAAAAGCCCAGCCACGGCATCAATCATTAACGCTCCCTTGTGGGGCTTGTTTGACTGCTCAGTGTCTACCAACAGTGAACCGGCTCCTAAGTCACTTCAATGGCTGGTGTGTTTGTCAACTTTCTTACAAAATTCCAGTTATCTCTCGAAGCCACTCAGTGCAAAGGGCAACCGCGGACTTTGTCGCTCATTTGTTTCTGCCCCTCTCTGTGTCGGTTCAGAAGAACAAGGGGGGCCATCGCCTTAAACGTCAGGCTACTCAACATCACGATACACTTCACGATGATAAGCCACTTCATTGGTTGGGCTATCATTTGTGATAGCCAGTTCACTTCCGAAAAAGAGCTGCGTGCAGCTCAGTGGGCCTTACCTGGTCAAATAAAAAAGTGTTCATCGTTGATAGTTTGCGTCGGGCAGCCGCGTTCGCTCACCTTGCCGAGGACGTCCAGGCAGGGGTGGATGTTGAGCTCAGGGCTGTCCAGCTTGACCACGCCGACCCAGCCATAGTCCAGCAGCTCCTCGTCCTCGGTGCTCACGCACAGCGACAGCGGGTGAACCTGCACGGCGCGGGGGGCAGCACAGCACCTCCGATTAGCACGGTTGGCTACGTACGGTGCGAAAGAAGTTCAACATGCATACAGCGTCACATTCCGCCGTGCAGGGATGCGCCGCGCGATACCCAACGTTTCACGCCCCGTGCCGAACCTATCGCCGCGCATCAAGAACCGGCATCAGCCTGGCAATGCCGCCGGCATCAGCCTGGCAATGCCGCCGGCATCAGCCTGGCAATGCCGCCGGCATCAGCCTGGCAATGCCGCCGGCATCAGCCTGGCAATGCCGCCGGCATCAGCCTGGCAATGCCGCCGGCATCAGCCTGGCAATGCCGCCGGCATCAGCCTGGCAATGCCGCCGGCATCAGCCTGGCAATGCCGCCGGCATCAGCCTGGCAATGCCGCCGGCATCAGCCTGGCAATGCCGCCGGCATCAGCCTGGCAATGCCGCCGGCATCAGCCTGGCAATGCCGCCAGCATCAGCCTGGCAATGCCGAGTAATCAAGGGGAAAAGGGTGCTTGCTCGAATCAGATCCTGAAGAAGCTCCATGCACGTGGAGCAAAAACCCGTTGGAGACGTTCATGAAATTCACTCGCGCGGTCAATGATTCACTTACAACTGCACACTCATTCATTCACCTGCCAGCGCTCATTCTCATCAGTACTGCCGTGCTGCTCTCTCGTCTGTTTCACTCCGTTGTTCATTCACCCACGAACACCCCGCCGTTCTGGTTATCCAGGCACTTCTTCGCTGAGCAATTGCCGCTTTCATTCACTCCGAATCACTCTCCCTTCTCTCATGCGCTCTTCCAGTCTCCACTGAAAGGGGCGAGGGGTGGTGAAATGTGGCTCAGACAAATAAAAATAAAAAATTAATACATGAAAATAACAATCCTGCAGTAATATAGCGGCACGTAAACACGCCCGCGGTGTACTTCGGTGGTCATTTCTGCCTCCTGTTATTATTTTGAAGAGGCCTCGTCGTCACTCACGATCGTGAACACGTGGAGCAGCGCTGGTTTGCTGTCCATGCCACAGAGTCGTGTGCGACTTCCCCCCCGCCCGTCACGATCGCGAGCCCTGCTCTTCCGACCACAGCGGTCACACAAACCCCCACTGTAACCATCACTCTGACACTGTTCATAGACGAGACGATTCGTCAATGCAATTGATTGATTAAAAATAGATTCACCACAAAAAATGTTCTGGTCAATCAACTCGATTCCCTTTACACACGGTGGTTTGACCCCCACATCCCGCCTCCCGAAGGCAGGAAACCCCCCAACAAGCCACACACAGCGCGATGACAAAGATGATGTCACCAAGCCCCACCCTCCCATCCAGCGGCACACGTGGACTTTATTTCACAACAATTTTCACGTTTTCCGACGAGTCGAACAGTCGAACCGATAATCACCAGGAGTCAGATTAGTTTGGACAGCGGGATGACAGCTCAGCTCGAATAACAATGACACACGGCATAACCCTATTCGTAACGCAACGCTCAACGCGGACCACAATCCCAACAATAACCCTCTCACCAATGTAACTCTACTCGTGACCATTGCACCCACTGTCTTACCGGGAGGGGGCCGTTGAGAAGAACTGCCACACGGCTATGCACACGCACGGCCCCTTTGTCAATCCACTGCTGGATAAGGGCCTCCCCACGCCCTCTGGGTCCTGGTGGTTATTTGGCCATACTTCCCAATCCCGGCCATTGCGGGTCGGTGAAAGCAGGCAGCATAGATGTACATTTCGCTGCCCGACCTCTGCTGCCAACGGCGTAGGCCCGCAGCCTGTAACAAGCGAACGCGTGTGGTGGCCCATCCAAGCGTCATCCGGTCTCAGACCTGCTTAGCTTCCGAGATGCGACAGGACGGGGCCTGTTCCGCGGGATTTGGTCGCAGGCCACAGGAGCGATGCCTTGGCGTTAATACGCACGGCAGGGAGCCATACACTTTGGCACAAAGTGTACGGTGTCTGCTGAACCGGCACGTAGCAAGGCTCGGGGCCATACTAAACTATAAAACTATTTTTTTATTTTACCAGTTAAGGCCCACTGAGCTATGTAGCTCTTTTTCAGAAGCGACCTGGCCACAAAATGATAGCTTGACGAAGTGGCTTATCGCGTGGAAATGCATTGCAGCCAAATACTCTAAACGCATTTTGATTCTTAATCTGGGAGTGGAAAACCGGAGGACCCGTAAAAAAAACTCCACGCGACCACGGGGAGAACATGAAAACTCCAAATATACAGGCATCAGGGTCGGGATCGAACCCACAACCTCCTATATACCAGGCGAGGGAGTTTCCATCTCGCCACTGCAGCGCCCGCTTTCGGCACCGCGACGCGCGCAGTGGCGGGCGAATCGATCCGGTGACGATCTCCGAAAGAGACTTCGCCGAGAGCTGTCGCCTGAAACTAGCACGTGGTCGAGAACCGAGGCAGAATGTGACCACACAACGCTTGGCACGTTCAAAAGATCACCCCGAGCCCCACAGGCACGCCGAGTGCAGATGTCTGGACGACTAGACACCACCGCTGCAGCCGGTGTAAAACCGACACGGTGGAACCCGTGACACGCCAACCGCAGGCCCCTCTCGTAACAGATTCAATCCACGTGCATTGAGAACATTCAGGCCCGATCCTTGCACACGTGTGCATGTGCAGCCCTTTGTCAATGCAGGAAACTAAACAATTTTTTTATTTTACCAGGTAAGGCCTACTGAGGTTTATGCAGCTCTTTTTAGAAGCTACCTGGCCACAAATGATAGCTCAAAGCAGTGGCTTATCATCAAGTGGCAATTTACAGCGGTAGCCAAATACTCCAAATGAATGTCCTACTGGATGAACGTCCTCCCACACCGTGTGGGTCACAAGGATCGCTTGGCCATAGTACACCTCCAATTAGCACAGTTGGCTACGGCCGGCCAACATACGATGGTCAGTGTGGGTGTTTGTTGTTGTGGAGGGGTGCCAGCACTGGTTCAGATATCAGCTACCACTCATGTAATCCGCTGCTGGGTATCGAACCCGGGTCGCCGGGTTCACAGCAGCGTGCGAATCACTGTGCCCCGCCGCATCCGGTCTCTCGCCAACAACCCGCGGCGCCGACCGGCGTGGTGAAGTATGGTCAAATAACCCCCACGCACAACCAGCACGACGCGGGGAGGGGCCCTCTTTCACCGTGCAGGACCTCGTTGCCGGGTCCCACAGGCGGGGCCACATCGTCGTCACGAGCCGTGGTCTATCCACTGCTGGCTAAAACATCACGAGCCCGACGCTGAGTAGCAACATGGCCGCCGCGGTGGCAGCAGCAGGCGAGAAGACGACGCTGCAACGGATCGATCAAGGGCTCAAATCATCATCATCATCACGACGATCGCTCAAATCATCCTCGTCATCATTACCATTCCGCACAATGATCGGTGGATTGCGAAGCAGCAGTGTGCAAAGGTTTAACCCGGCTACCCCTACACAGGAACCACTGTGGTCTCTGTGCGAGAGGGGAGAGAGAGGGAGGGAGAGAGAGGTTGAGAAAAAAAATGTTATAAAAACCCATCAAGGAGGAATTTAAAACAAGCAAACAAGCTCGGCTGCTCTGCTTAAGCCTCCCCCACCCTGCCCCTCCCTCGAAGCTGTTGGCAGAGCGGCTGTCTTCAAAGAGCGCGCTATCCAAACTCCCACTGAGCCCAGTACAGAGAGGAGGGGGGGGGGGTGCTCGTGTTTGTACGGGCGTGCGTGTGTGTGAGAGTGGGGGCGAGAGTGTGTGTGTGTGCGCTTCGCTAACAGCACTTGCCCCAACAGTCTGTTAAGGCTACACGGGGGATCTTTGTCTCTTGTGCTCTTTGTGTGAATGGGGAGCGGTAGCGCAGCGCTACGAACCCGGCCGAGATCAGTGACGATTATCTGAACCGGTCCTGGGCCACCCCGAGATCGACTCGACATCGTCACTGGGGAGACAAAGGCGACCGGGCGTGGTGTTAGCCACCCACCCCCTCGTGTGCAGTGCCGGCCTTACAGCAGCAACTAATCCTGATGGCGGGACGCGGGGCACCAAATAATACAAAATGAGCCGAGGCAATTAAATACTTTATTGCTGGGACACTATTTTTACCAGGGGTGTAACTTAACTCCGCAACTGGGGTAGCAATCAATCCGACATCGGTGCCACTCGGCGATGGACGATTGCCCCGAAACCCCGAACGCTCACGGTACGCACCGTGGTGGTGGTGGTGGTGCATCGCGTGCAGCTCGTGGTGTCTATTCTAGATTTGAAGTTTTCGTGACTACAAGGAGTCATACTCTTTGGTTTTTTTCGGTAAAGTCCCGTAGGTGAAAAATTAAAATAAATTAAATCACGACGTTTCGGAAGCAACACAAGCCTCCGTCATCGAGATGAGTCGACTGCCGCATCGCCGACCATCGACAGACGAAACGTGACTGCGTCACGGACATTGTGCGAGAGCCGGGGCGCTATGGCATCTCCGGGGTAACGCCACAAGGTGCACTTGCCCCAATAGGCTGTGCAGGCTATACGGGGGATCTTTGCCTTTGTGTGTGAGAGAGAGCGGTGGGACAGTGGTTAGGGCACACGGCGCTACGAATCCGGCGACCTTGATTCGAGCGATGTCTGAAACCAGTTCTGAGCCTCTGCTACTGCACCAACCCACCCAGACTGGTGAAGTATGGTCAAACGACCCCATCACTAACACGGTGAGCGAGAGGTCCTCTGTCACACCCCCCCCCCTACCCCACAACTCTTCCCACCCCCATGCTACTACTACCAACTCCTGCGAGTGCTGTACCAGGCACAGTGCGCGTGTGTAAACATCAGCACTGGGGAGACAAAGGCGGAGGGGCTTCTGGCCACCCCGCCCCCTGCTGCGCCTGTGGCAGCCTTAATAGGCGCTCGCAAACACAGCACCCACCGTGTCGTCGTGAGAGGGAGAGAGAGAAGGAGTAGCTGGGGCCTCGTGGCTGCCGGCCACTGACCGACCCTTGACGCCACTCACCCAGGTTCGATCCCAGTCTGAGCCAACAACACCGTGGGAGATCGGCATTGGGGCACCGCGGTGGTTGTTCTGAGATGTTAACTCCCTCGCCTGGTACGCAGGAGGTCGTCGGTTCGATCCTGACCCTGACGCCCGCTGCTGCTGGATATTTGGAGTTGGCGGTGTCTCTCTCCCCGTGGTCGCAGGGATTTTTCTCCGGGTCCTCCGGTTTCCCCCCACTCCACATTTGTAAACACGGGCTGAAGAGTATTTGACTGCTATAATTGTCGACAGGATGAGCCATTTTTGTCGACCTATCATTCGTAGCCAGGTCGCTACGGAGCTCATTGGGCCTTACCTGGCGAAACTAAATTGTTTAAAAGTCAGTCATGACACGCGTGTGTCTCCCCCCAACCCCCTGTCGGCGGAGAATGGGACCAATAAGAAAAACCACGCACACGCATGGACTCCGAGTAACGCTTTCCATCGCGCGTGTGTCCTCGTCGAAGAGGAGGAATAATTAATCTAGATTTGAAGTTTTCGTGACTGCAGGCATCCGTACAAGAGTGAGGAGTAATTAATGGAGCGATAATGACGGCCACGGTCACGGCCAGACACGCGGGGAAGGGGCGGCGTCTCTGTAGGCCACGATGAGACCACGGCCTCGCCTGGCGGCTTTGCCCGGGAGGGCGCGCCTCGGGCGGGGACACCAAGCAGGGTGCTCTCCCGAGCCCAGGGTTATGTATCCCAAGTTTGGGGAAACACGTTGATAAATCCA